CAAGATTAATTGACATTGTGAATTGTGAGCCCCGTCGCCACTGATATGTTCGTCACTTAGGATGCTTGAGGCTATTACGAGTTTACCTTAGTCGATAAACGCGAACGAGACTTTTACCAGCTTCCAGGAAGGCTACCCTGAATCCCAGAATCGAAATAGAAGACTTTGTAGGCGTAGAAGTATATTCTACAAGCACCCAGCAATCCCAGTACAATCAAGCATACAACTCTCGTTTATTTATACAACATAACAACGTCCTTGAGACAGTTAAGAAAATAGCATACTAAAATACACTGTAGCCAATCACAGCCATTGATTTTCCTGGTGGGAATTGAAATCTCAAGGTCATTTGATCAGCCCCTGCTGGCGAACGTGAAAACCGAAATACGGCATTATCAAGCGAATTTTGGGGATCTAACATCCCCAACAAGAAATCAGGAAGAAGCGTTGAAGGTGGATAGGACACATCTCATTGAGGAAAGTACCTAACTGCATCACAAAACAAGCTCTCACTTAGAACCCTCAAGGACAAACGAGAAGAGGAAGGCTAAGGAATACGATAACCGAATCATGGAGACAGATATGAGAAAAAATTGGTGAGAACTGGAAAAGGAGGCCCAGGACATTGTCGATTGAAGAATGTTAGTCGGCGGCTAATGCTTCATTTACGGTGACAGGCGTAAGTAAACAGTAAGTTAAAGTTTGCCTTGTGATGTAATTCGATAATTTCTTCTAGTTAAAAGCTCAATGCTTCATCCGTTTGCTCAATTAATTGTATTACAAAATTTTAGTGATTACATTCAATTTTATTCATTTAAAAGACTTCTATATCATGTTATGAAGGGTAGTGTCCGAGACCTGAACACAATACATACTAACCTCCTAAACTGGTTATCCGAGCCAGAAGATAAGAGTGGAAGAGAATAAACATATATATATTCCACTTCCTTAGAAGTTGAATCCATTTTGTTTATCGAATGACAGTACACATTCTTGATTCACCTCAAGTGACCTTCTCACTCGACCATTTTTAATTGGTTCAGACAATGCGCAAGATTTAAAATAGTGAAAATGATTAGTATTGAGTGACCATAAGTCATTTGTTTCTTCAGTATCTTGGAGTCCATGTGCACCATTTAGTTTGAAATTACAGTTTTCAATTCTTCCAAGTGAATTAATTCTCTGTACTTACTAACCCAATTGAAGCGCCAAACATTTTTGCTTCTCGTCCATTTGACCTTGTGACACCGGGAGGCAGTAAGTAGAATTTCTCTGACAGTATCTATGTATATACATACACATGGTGGCAGAAACCCATGTAGACATTGACGAGTGGACTTAGCCATGTCGGTAACTGTCGACTACCTGGTTGGGGTCCGCGAGATGATAATAATCGATGGTTAGAGACCTTGAATGACATGGCTCAAAATCGTTCGCAATGGCGCCGGTGCATTTATTCTTTGTGTTCTCTCAAATACTTACCTTCTGGATTCTTCAACACCTCTAGTTTTGACTTTCTAAACTTTTTTCATTAAATCATACTACTTGAATAATATCTTCTCATCCTAACCTCTCCGATTACTTCTAATACCCTTACTAACTCTTCTACTATTGAATTTGAATTGACAATTACATCTCTGTGTGCTAATGTGGTATGGCAACATGAACTGATGTATTTACGTATGAAGTTCTACGTTGCATCTAACTGACTGACTGACATACACATGGGCATATAAGAGCATTTTAACCGGGTGAGGAATATTCCCACATATTCGAACGTAATCTAAGCGCATTCAGGGCGGTTCAAACGATTTCTTTGTCGTCGTACCATTGTAAAACTGTTCATTTGAACGCACAAAACAAAAACATACATCATTTACGTACTTCAAAAACTATTCTCTGTGTTTGTCAATGAAATAAATTTTATTTAGAGAAAATCTTTCCCCGACCATAGCTAAGCTATCGTTAGGAAACGAATAATAGTAGGTAGGGATAGCAAATCAATAGATGAAGTATTGAAACGTCATCAGTTGAGGCGGTTGGGACATGTGTTTACAAATGCCCAACCACGGACTGCTTCGTCAAGCTATATTTTGCGGTCTAGGAATAGGTTAGACGAAAGCTAGGGGTGGCCAAACTAAAACATGGCAGAAATCCATGAAGTCACTGACAAGTAGACTGAGTTGGAGGACAAGAGACGATAATAATAATCGATGGTTAGAGACCCCAGATGACATGATTCAAAACCATTTGCAATGGCGCAGGTGTATTCATTCTGTGTTCTGTCGAATCGTAACCTACTGAATCCTCATCACCTTTATCTTTTTTGTTTTTCTTTTTAAGTTTATTTCCACTAGAATCTACTTGGATAATATCGTCGAACTCTAAAATTTCCGATTACTGCTTATACCTTTTTACTACCTCTGTGGTGCGAGCTACTTATAAGTAGTAATGTCTGGCAGCAGAACATGGGGGAAGATCAAGAAAGGAAGAGTTAGCAGAACACAATGGAATTTGTATGAAACGCATGAATAGTGACAATGGATTGATGTTTTGCAACAGGAACAGTCTAGTTCGATTTGATGAACTGATATTTTGCAAATTAACGATTTACGATATGTTTTTCCGATTTTACTGAGTAATTCTGTAATTTTCGTTAATTACAATTCGGTCGCCCTCACCTGTGTTCTCCTTCACTACACCTCTACTACTACTACTACTACTATGAGATTTGAATTGACAACTGCGTCTATGTGGTATGCCACAAACAATATGTGAACTGATGTACGATGTGTACGTACGTATACAAAGCTCTTCGTTATAATCGATTGACAGAAAATCTTTCTGTCAAAGAATCAACTTCAACAATCGTGGAGCCAAATTACATACACACACACATATATATGAACAGTTGTCTACGCAAAATACTTCGGATTCTTTGGCCAGACACCATCAGCAACAACGAACTGTGGGGGAAAACAAACCACATTCCAGTGGAGGAGGAAATCAGGAAGAAGCGGTGGAAGTGGATAGGACACACACACTACGAAAAGCACCTAACTGCGTCACGAGACAAGCCCTCACATGGAACCCTCAAGGTCAAAGGAAAAGAGGAAGGCCAAGGAACACATTACGCCGAGAAACAGAGAACCATATGAGAGGAATGAACAAACATTGGACAGAACTGGAAAGGGAAGCCCAGGACAGAGTTGGTCTGGAGAAAACTGGTGGGCGGCCTATGCTCCGTTGGGGGTAACAGGCGTAAGTAAGCAAGTAAGTACACAGACACATAAAGTATTCAAACGAAAAGAATAAATTGTTTTTCTTAAATATATATAATATAAATATATGTACAAGATTACAAATACAGAAAAAGGAATTTCACAGTTACGGGAGAAAACAAACAAACCAACAAACATGAAAATGCACAATTTTGTGTGAATAATAAAAGCATTAAAATTGAAATTACTATAAAATGTCTATGATACTGTTTGTTCATTTGCACTTGCTCCTATGCCGACGCTACTACCGCCGCCACCAGCTGCTCGACCAAGTAAACCTAAAGTATAAACATGAATTTCAGTGAGAATTATATCAAAGGGGAGAGAGAGAGAGACAATGAATTCATTGATGTGTGTGTGTGCGCGTGTGTGTGTAAGATAGGTTATTAAGCATGAAGACGAAAATAGGCACTTTGTCCATTGACTATTTATTTTATGCATCAATCAATCAACGTAAACAATCTCATTTTGATATACTTGAATGATTACAAGTTTTTCTCTTAGTCGGAAAAAGAGAGTGCGAGGATCAAGGATCCGGCGATAGGACATGCTACACTAATCCGAGCGTTCCACAACCCAGCCATTAGGTAGAAGAAGAAGACTTGATATGAAGTAGAACGTCAATTCTACAAACATTCAGAAAGTACGAAGTCCGGGTCCAGAAGAGAATCAGCATCCCGGACTAAGTATCCGGGTCATATAAAAGTTACAGATAATTCGTATTTATACAATTAGGTGGAATAGGAAACAACATTTAAAGTGATATTGATAGTCAGGACGACCAATGGGAAACAACATTACAATACGTGACATTGATATCTAGGACGACCATATAATGGACCAGTAGGAATTAACCAATAGGAATTGACCAATAATTCTCTAAGGATATTGGATGAATATCCTAACACTATTAAATATGTGATTGTATTCCCTGTTGATTGATTGATTTGTACTCTAAACTCGCTTAGAATGATTGGTTATAATTACTTAATCACTTACTTAAAAAAACCTGTTTATTCCTAATGAAGCATAGGCTGCCGACTATCATTATTCTCCAACCTATTCTGTCCTGAACTCTCTTTTCCAATTCTATGCAATCGCTGTTCTTGCTTTTAAATGTCTGATTCTAATTCTCGACGTAGTGTATTCTTTGGTCTGCTACTTGTCTTTTGGCCTTGATGATTTCAGATTAGGGCTTGCCGAATGAAGCAAGTCGAGTTGATTGCTCCGTTGGAATCTCTCCGTTGATCTCTCTCACAGTAAGCTGTTGTTGATGGTGTCTGACCAACAGATACACAGTATCTTGCGTAGACAACTGTTAATAGACGCCTGTATCTTTTGAAGGATGGTTTCGGTAGTTCGTCTAAGTTCCAAATCCAAAAAGTAGACCGGCATCGACGTTTGGACTGAAAATTGTGACTTTGGGGTCGGCTGACAGTTGTTTTAGGGTTCCAGATGTTCTTCAATTGTAGAAATATTGTCCTTTCGTCGTTAATCCATGCCTATACGTCGGCATTAGATCCACTTTATCTATCAGAGATGGTGCCCAGATAATACAAAAGTTCCCACATTCTTCAAAGCTTTTAAATTAAGTGTGATTTGGTTGGTGTGTGTTGTGTTGTATCGACGCGTTTTTATTGCATGAAATGAAATGCTGTCCGTTGTTTGCTCGAGTTCTTTATTTTACGATATTTTCAACTGTAGTTATGGAGATAAGTGCTTTTTACACATTTGAAATCATCGATTAATCATTGTTAGACCGTCATTAGGAACCTGGAAGAAGCACTGAAAGACGGCTGTTTTGTCCTGGTATGGGAATACTTATCAGTGGCAGTGCGCATCCACAACTCCTGCACCTTGCAGTATTCGAACTCGAGACCTTCGGTTTTGTGCACGAATGCCTAACCATCGAACCACTGGGCCGGCATCCAACAGTGTTAATGTCTAACTCTGATTGATCTAGGTATTTAGCGCAACCTCACCCATTTGTCTTCGGTAGTGACTGCCTGATCACGACTTCTCATTAGAACTCCAAGAATTTTGCTCACGAAGCTAGTAGTCATTAGTGTGCAGATTTTACGATATTTTCAATTAGAGTTATGGAGATTAGCGTTTTGACACATTTGAAATCATCAATCAATCAATCAATCTTTATTTTAGTCATGAATCTTACAGTTTGGTTTAATGTGATCTTAGTCTCCGTGTGGTAAAAACTAAACTCAATCAGTCATTTAATTTCGCTGTAGTAATATTGTAGAAAATAAATTTATCAAAACCCCCTGTTTTGACGACCCCTACACAACAAACAGCCACCACCAACTAATGAAATCCCTTTTAGGAAGTATACAGTTTGATTTACAATTTACTTGTATGAGGGTTGTGATTAGTCTAGTTGACTACCATCACTTAAATCAAAGTAAATGAAGTGGGATTCGTTGTTCAGGATGAATGGTTGAAGGTGAAAAGCTCTAACTATTTTAGAGTAAGACTAGAGTATATGTAATTCATGAGGACTATGGTGATGTAAATCTAAAACATGCTAATAGGCTGAGTAGGTGAGTCTAGACTTAGCATCTTAAAGTTAGAAGGTAGGTGAGAAATCAGCAACAAGGCATCCTGGTAGGTGACACCAATCTTGTTCTTAGTCAAAGTTTTACTATCCTAAGATATCCTTGTCTGGATTAGGAGGGGACATGCATAAACAGCAATAGTTTGTGAACATGTCAACAGTTCGCTCCGTCCTACAATAAGGATGTGGAACGTGGCCACCAAGAATGAAGGATATTCGTAGGTTACTGGTATTCGATCATACGTGTGTTAGAAGCAATGCTCATTTGTCTTAGGACCAGGAAGTAAGCAATCCTGTAGTTAGGAAACAGGTACCAGGTGAGGATGGTAGATGATCAATTAATGAAGTAATGAATCTTTAGTAGTTAACGTGGTTGGGATATGTGTTACGTAAACGCGATCACCGACTACCTCAACAAGCAATGTTGTGTGACGTACAGGCAGACTGAAAGAGAGGAGCGACTGAACCAAAAATGGCACAAATCTATAAAGCTGCTGAGCCATGTTAGTAGGGGTGTAGACTACCTGGTTAGGGTCAGTGAAACAATCGTAACCCTGTCTTTTCTCCAGCTTACCCTGATATCAGATAACATCGCTGTTCACAACTAATGAAGTCTCGCTACTTAATCAATTGATCTGCCATTTTTGTCTGGTACCTTTTTCTTAACGACTATATTGCTTACTTGACGGTTTCGGGAAACACGAGCCATGCTTCGAAGACACCTATGACTGAATACTAGATCCCTACGAATATCCTCTAATCTTACTGGTCATATTTCACAGTAATAAAGTAGGACGGAGCGAACTGCTGCATAGTAGACTCGTCCTTTGGTTAACAGACGGATATCTAGCCTACGCCATAAGTGACGCAGGTTGGCAAAATCCACTCGAGCCTTCTGTATGCGTGCTGAGATTTCGTCAGTCACCAGCCTGACAGGACTGATGAGACTCGCGAGATGAGTGAAGCGGTCAACATCCTCAACTACTTCACTCCCTATCACTAGTTCAGGTGCCGATGCAGCCCAATCTTGAGGCAATATTTTGCATTTCGAGGGGGAGAATCGCATCCCGAACACGACTGCATTGTTACTTGAGGTGGTTGAAAGACTCTGCATATTGTCAGCGTCTTCGCGAAGTAGGACTATATCATCGGTATATGTTAAGACAACAGGCGAGACTTCTGGTAGAAGGTCAACTGCTGAAAAGTCACACGATGAAAGTGCCATTTCTAGAAGTATGTCAACAACAAAGTTGAATAAGAATGGAGAAAGTGGACAGCCTTTCAATGGTAGACACTGCCACAGAACCTCACGGTCAACAGAGTCCAATTCCGGTCCAGGAAGGCAACAACTGTCAAACGCCTAAATGTGTGTCTGTGTTCTAGAACCTGTTGAGGTGTGAATATGTGATCTATACATCCATATCCAGGTCTGAAACTAGCCTGGTTTTCTCGAGTCTACTCTTCAAAAGCCCTAGTAAGGCACCGGAGTATTATTGAAGTCAATATCTTAGACACTATATTAATTAAACTGTTTCCTCTGTGATTGTTTCAAGAGGACTTGGTCCCTTCTTGTGGACTTGGACAGTGAGTGGTTAAGACCAGTCAGATGATATTATGCCCAGTTCCCAAATTCTACTTAGGATCGCAGTCAAGCTTACTGCTAAAACTAGACCACCATCCTTAAAAATCTAAGGGGTCAATCCATCAGGGAGGCTGCTCTCCCTGCCTTAGATTTCCTATAGCTTTTTCAACTGTATAAAGACTCGGAGGGCTTATATCGATTTGCCATTCAGGATGACTGGAGATTGTGGGTAACCGAAGTGTTGCTGTAAAGCCAACTAAACTGCCACCTTAAGTGTTCTGCTTATCTTTCCAGTCTCCTGTATTGAGAATGAATAATATGACCATCTGATGATTAGGAGATAGTTTCTTTAACATGTAGATTTCTAATACCGGTTTGCTTAATTAGGCTAAACAGTTGTCTACTGTTACTTATCATCGCTCTTGCTTTCGCTACGCACCACTGTTCGCGATCATTGCGTAGGCTTTTTATCAGCCTGTGCTTAAGCTGACTTCGCTTTTCATCATATTCAAAGCCAGGTGGGATGAGTTTCCTAGCGTCTATCAGTTCGGTAGATGCTACTGAGATCCACGGCTTCTTCCTAGCCATATGGTTTAAGGCTAATAAAGCAGATATCACTTCCATTTCCACAGCTTTTTGGATATCATTCCAAGCTGCCTCCGGATGGGAATCACTTACATGGTCACCTAATTGTGTTTCTATTGTTCCTGAAATATATTCTCAGCTATGCTATCATCTTAGGTAGAACCCTAAGAGGTTTCCTTGCAATATTTTTCCTACATCCAATAAGTCATAAACAAATACAATTTCGCACTAGGGCATGATCTGAATCTAAACATGTGCTCCAGAACGAGCGACAGTCTTTTATCGAGCAGCTCCATCGGTGGCTGGTAGCAGTGTGGTCTAGTTGGGTTTATCGTTGGGTCGATTTTGGGAGTCTCCATATCAAAAGGTGTCTTTCCTTATGCTTAAAGTTAGAATTTGCTAAAAAAAAATAGGCAGTTATCTGAGTATAGTTGCAGCAGACGGTCGCAATTCTCTGTTCCATGAGCCGCGACACCATAAGATCTACGCAGGCGTCTTTCCCTTTCGTTTAGTCCACCCACCTGAGCAATGAAGTCGCCCGCTACTATTAATACATTAGAGCGCCTAACTTTGTGAAGAAGGCTAGAAAGCTTTCCGTGAAATTCATCTTTTACCTCAACTGAGTTGAAGTCATTAGGAACGTAGGCTGGGACGACGAGAAGGAAAGGCGAGTGTCCCTATCTCTCCGAGTCTTTACTGTCCCATTTAGTCGGAAAGAGCATAAACGACAATCTACTGGGATCCAGTATAAGAGAGCTAGTCCTGCTGTAGGAGTCAGTGCTATATCTACACAAGCGAGGCCACGGGAAGTAGCAGCAGGGCTTCTAGATACACGGAGCATAAACCAAGTCGGTTTTTTATCTGGACAAGGTGAAATCAAAATAGTAATTCCGCCCAGATCCTGTATGCGCGTTTCGGGGACGAAGCATACATCGATGGCGTGAGACTTTAAAATCTTAGCTGAGAAAGCATGTTCTATTTCGCATAGTGTCCGGAAATTCAAGGACAACATTTCAGACCATGAATAATTTTTCGTGAACTCGGAACGTTTGCATTATCAGCGCGGGGTGAAAAACGTGCGAAAGGATTGGTTGTGGAGATAAGAGAGATGTTGGGGGGGTTTAGTAGGGAGAATTTGATTGTAACGAATTTGGTCTCGTGTACTGTTACGGCTATGAGGGCAGGTGTCACTTCCTCGCTGCTCAAACTAGGGGTGTTTTTTTGAGGAACCTAAAAAAGGTCTTAACGACCTGGGAATGTGACCGCAGAGTCCAAGAGACAACTGATTGAGGTCGGTCACGCACGGCCTTTTTAAGAGACGTTTCAAAAGCGTTAGCTCCGCTTGTTTTAAAAGCCCTTACCGGCGGACGGAAATCCGTGAGGCAAGGTGTGGTGTGGTATTTTGAGGGTCGAGCTTTTCTAACCCCTTACTGCTATCACACTCCTCTACGGTCAGCAGTACGACTTCACCTTCAGACTTTAAGTTTCATCGTTCTCTAATCGATCTGCCTGACTTGGTAGAACCTAAAGGGACATATGTTCCAGCCAGTATAGCTCGGTTGGGTAATCACAACAGGTAAACTCGACCACCATATCAAAGTAGCAGCTACGATCGAGCTTGAATGATAAATAATCCCACTAAATATTTTTTCTATCTATTCATGATTATTGTTGACTAGATCAGACTACTTATTACTACTAAGTGAGTAGAATGACTTAAAAATAGAGAAAAAAAAGCAACATAAAATTACCTTATCAAATTTACACAGAGAGATAAACAAATCAATTAAGATTTGAATAATTGTTTCTCACGATTAGTACCTTTCATTTTTCCTGGGTCTATAATAAAATGTGAATTGAATCAAACTATTGCTAATTGGAAGTAAATGTGATCAGGTAAGAAACAAAAAGGCAGATTACGATACTAATCGATTAGTAGACTATGAATTATTATGATTTGATTATTCCTTTGTTCCTTTCCTACAAAAAAAAATGTATATTTTGAGCTTAATCACACTGAGAGAGAGAGAGAGATGTAGTGTATATCATGTGCAGTTTACATTTGTGTTATCTCAAATTTATCACTCTCTCTCTCTCTATTATAACTTGTGTTATGAGTAACAGACGAGACCGAATCCTTCCTACCAAACACATGGATATAACAAAAGTCGGACAACTAAGCCAATGATTTAGCAAACACTCCATTTCATGAAAAAGAAAAGGGTGTTATCATTATCAAAACAATAGGCAGCATGGTTCTGTAGCAGTGAATTGATAGCGATCAAAAATAGTAAAAATAGTAAATAATTTAGAGTCATTTATTATTGTAATACTTACTAGTTCTCCTTATGGAGTCTGATCTCATCTTTTACACAAGACAAACTATAAGGATTTGAGCTGTCAATCTAATGGTAAAATCAGTAATATAGGGGGGGTTGTGGAGATCATTCAGTTTCATCGAAACCACAAACTGACCAATATTAAATGACTATTGAAAACTGGAAGCACTATAAGTTCGTTTCGTCCCAGTATGAAACTCATTAGCAGTGTACATTCATGCCTCTGCAAGTTAGAATCAGACTCACGACCTTTATGAAGTTTCCTTTGATTCATGAAATGTGAAATAGTCATGTGGGAGCAACAATCAAACAATTAAATGTGAATGATCGGACAACAGAATTAATTGTATGAGTACTATGTAAGCGCTCTTCAGATGTTTTCCTCCAATTTAAACGAATATGTGAAGTGTATGTGTCACAAACAGAGAGTATTCCGAAAGGAATAAGAGTATAAATATACCCCAAACTTTCATGTATATTTAATTTTTTCCCCAATGTAAAAACAACAACTAAATTATCATAAATACCTCGAAAATCAATTGGGATAGTTCCGGTACGTTCCATTTCTAAAATATGTTGATGAATTTCACGTAAACGTTTCTCATAATCCATATTTGTCCATACTGATACCAAGAGAACAGCTCTACCAGCTATATGAGTGACCACTGTCATTAAATCACCTTTTGAAGATAAACGAAATTGATATCGTCGACCATCGATTAGAATTTCTTCAAAATGATATATATTATAATGATCCAAATTGATATATTGAAATTTATCAGAAAATACTTCTTGTAAAGTATCCGCTTTAGCTTCAGGTAATTCAACTGACATGATTCAATTTAATCTGAAAAGTGGTAAATTTATATACACACACACACACACAGAGAAAAAGTAGATATGGTTCAGAATAGAAGCAGTCAGTCAATTGCAACGTAGAACTTCGTACGTATATATACATAAGTTCATGTTGCCATACCATCACATTAGCACAGAGACGCAAATGTCAAATTAAAAACCCATAGTGATAAAGATAGTAGAGGTATTATTGTTAATAAAGAAGACTAGGGTTCGAAGATATTATTCAAGAAATATAATTCAGTGAGATAAATTTAGAAGGAGAAGGACAGAGATTATGAGGAATTCAGAAGGTTAGAATTTCATAGAACACAAAGAGTGGATGCACTTGCGCCATTGAAAACGATTTTGAGCCATGTCGTTCAAGGTCTCTAACCATTGATGACTTTCGTCTCGCGGACCCCAACCAGGTAGTCTACATCTACCAACATGACTCAGTCCACTTGTCAGTGACTTCATGGATTTGTGCCATGTTTTGGTCTGGCCACCCCTAACTTTCTTCCAACCTACTCCTACACCACAAAACATAGCTCGTCGAGGCAGTCGGTGGTCAGCCATACGTAACACATGTCCTAACCACCTCAACTGATGAAGTTTCACTACTTCATCTATTTATTTGCCATCCTTACCTAGTACTCGTCTCCTAACGACAGCATTGCTTACTCGGCTGTCCCACGATATACAGAATAGAAGCAGCCATTGACGATGGTCTTGCACTGCATAAAAATGAAACAGAAACTTTAACCGATAGGATTCTTTTTTCTCTGAAACTGAACATCTTCTTCCATAACACACTAGAGTCTTGTGATTTAGTGATCCACATCCTCTTTCCATCTTTTCAAAATCTTATTTTCTTACTGTATGACGCTGTCACAGGTTGTTGTAGCCGGTGAGACAATACTAACCGATTGGTTAGAAACTTTGAACGACATGGTTCAAAGTTGTTTTCAATGGCGCAGGTGCATTCACGTTTGATGTTCTTTCAAATTCTAACCTTCTAAATTTCACATTATTTTTATCTTTCTCTTCTGAAGTTTAATTTCACTGGCTTATACTTCTTGAATGATCATCTTCGAACCCCATTATCACTAATACTTCTTACTAACTCTACTTCTATATGAGATTTGAATTGAAAATTGAATCTTTGTGCTCATGTGGTACGGCCAACATGGATTTGTGCACTTACGTACAACGTTTTACGTTGTAACTGATTGACTGACGACTGTATAACGCATGTAATAAGGTAAGGTGATTGATTATATCTCCTTTTTCAACTTAAGATACTTTTCTATAAGACTTCCAAGAGGTTCAGAGACCCAGATATCAAAAAAGTTCCATAACATAATTCTGTCTGTTTTATCAGCAGCAGCACTTAATATCAAAAATCATAGCATATAAGAGATTATTAAATCTGCCCAACCAACCAGTCGTCAATCACACATAACCTAGAATCTGTCCCATGTGTACAGCATTTCTAGTTGCCATAAGCACGAGAAATTGGAATTGTCACGGCGAACAGCAGAGTAGTAGAGGTAGTTACAATACCAGCGGTAATAGGGATTAGGCAATAAAGATACGATTTTAGGGAAAATAAATTCGCGAAATCTGAAAAAAAAAATCGGAAAACTTATGATTTGATGCAAGATAGAAAGTCAATACGCTTTGGCCACGGTATTGGTTATGGTAAATACACGGAGACCAGCCAAGTAGTCTACATCTATTAACATGATTTCATGGACTGGTGGCATGTTTTGGTTAACATTTCTTTCAGAATACTCCTACACCAGACAACAGCAGTCGAGGTAGTCGATGGCTGGCCATAAGTAACACATGTCACAAGCATCTCAGCTGATAAACATTTACTACCTCATCAGTCGAATTGTCATCTCTACATAGTATCTTATTCCTAATCCGGTCATCGCTTACTCCGTGGTCACAGAATATACGAGTATTGCTTCGAAGACGCTTAGGATAGAATACTAAGTGACCTACGAATATCCTTCATTCTTAACACCATGTTTTATAGCCAAAAAACAGCGAAGATAACTGCTGCGCAGTGAAATTGTTCTTCACTTGGCAGACAGATGTCTCGCCTACACTATGCAAGTTGGCAAGGATCGGCCAGGTTTACTGAATCCATGTTAAGATTTCTTCAGGCACCGACCCACCAAGGTCCCGACCGTAGCTGCTACCTTGACGTGGTGGTCGGCCTTGCCCATCGTGATGACCCAACCGAGCTATACTGGCTGGAACATATGTTCCTGCAGGTCCTACCATGCCAGGCTGGTCGATTGGAGAACGATGAGACTAAAAGCAGCTACACAAGGTCTGAGGGCGAAGTCGTACTGCTGACTGCAGAGGGGCGTGACAGCAGTAAGGTGTTTCCCTCGGACAACCAGTATCTGCAGCGATGTTGCCTTCTCATAAGGAAGGAAGGGTTAGAAAAGGTCGACCCTAAAAATGTCACACCTCACCCTACCTTACGGATTTCCGTCTCCGGCGGTAACGGTGCCCACTAAGGGCCTTAAAGAACGGAGCTAATCCTCAAAATACCTTTCATAAAAAGGCCGTGCGTGACCGGCTTCAAGCAGTTGTCCCTTGGACTCTGCGGTCACGCTCCCAGGTCTCCAAGACCAACGCTAATATACCTTCCTTTTCAGGTTCCTCTAGATACAACCTTCCACGGCGTGGGCAGACGGGAAGTGACAACCGCCCTCATACCCGTAACAGCACGAGAGACCAAATTGCTCGAAATCAAATCCTTGCTACACCCACACATACCTCTCTTCTCTCCACAAGTAACTCTACTCACCTTCCTTTATCTGACTGCACCGCTAATGCAAACGATGCGAGTTCACGAAACGTCATTCCTGGTCTCTTGAAACCTCGTTGTAGTTTACATGTTGGAGCATTTAATGTACGGACATTGTGTCAAATAGGGCAACAGGCATCATTAGCTAGGACTTTAGAATCTCGTGCCATCGATGTATGCTGCGTCTCGGAAACGCGCATACAGGATCCTAGTAAAATTATCAATCTGATTTCACCTTGTCAAAATAAAGAAGCAGCTCGATTTACTCTCCCTGATGCTGCTTCTAGGGGTCTTGCTGGTGTAGGTACAGCATTGAGTCGTAGGGCAGAACTAGCGCTCCTAGACTGGATCCCAGTAGATAGTCGTTTGTGCGTCGTCCGACTGAACGGGACAGTAAGGACTCGGAAAGATAGGGACACTCGCCGTTGCCTCTTCGTCGTATCTGCCTATGCCCCCACTGACTGCAGTCCAGACGAGGTTAAAGATGAGTTTTACAGAAAGCTTTCGAACCTCCTCCAAAAAGTTAGGCGCACTGATGCTCAGGTAGGTAGACTAAGTGAAAATGAAAGACACCTAGGTGGATGTTATAGTTTCGAGGCTCAGAGAACAGACAATGGCGACCGTCTGTTGCAACTATGCTCAGATAACCGCCTATTTCTGGCAAACACTAACTTTAAGCATAAGGAAAAGCATCTTTTGACCTGGTGACCCCCGAAGTCGTCTCAACGTTGGACCCAACTAGATCACATCGCCATCAGCTACCGATGGAGAGGTTCGATAGAGGACTGTCACTCGTTCTGGAGCACATGTTTAGATTCAGATCATGACTTAGTGCGAGCTCGTATTTGTTCAAGTCTTACTGGGCGTAGGGAAAACACCGTTAGAAAGCTTCTTATGGTTTTACTTAATGATAATAAAGCTAAGAAAATATTTCAGGAGGAACTAGAAAAACAGTTAGGCGACCATGCTAGTGATTCCCATCCGGAGTCACGTTGGAATCATATCAAGAAAGCTATGGAAACAGCAGTGATATCTGCTAGCAAGGTAAACCGTAAGGCTAGAATGAAGCCGTGGATCTCTGATGGATGCCCGAAAACTCATCCCACCTGGCTCTGAACATGATGAAGAAAGAAGTCAGCGTAGACGCAGGCTGATAAAAAGCCTGCGCAACGACCGTGAACAGTGGTGGATGGCGAAAGCAAAGGCGATGGAAAAGGCAGCGGCGATCGGCAACAGTAGACAACTTTTCCGACTTATCAAGGAAACTGGTTTAGGAATCCTAGTGTAAGTGAGACTATCTCGGAAAATGATGGGACTATTATTTGTTCTCAATCCAGGAGACTGGATCGATGGGCAGAACACTTTTGGCCTCGAGCCACTCCTCGGTTACCCACGATCTCCAGTCATCCTGAATGGCAAATCGACGTATATCCCCCTAGGTTTTATGAAGTTGAGAAAGCGGTAGGACATCTGAAACGAGGACGAGCTGCCGGTCCTGATAGACTGACCCCTGAGATATTTAAGGATGGTGGTCCAGTTTTAGCAGCTAGATTGACTGAGATCTTAGGTAGAATCTGGGAACTGAACGTAATCCCATCTGACTGGTCTTAATCACTGATTGTCCCGATCTATAAGAAAGGACAAAAGTCTTCTTGTGACAATCACAGGGGAATAAGTCTAACTAATATAGTTTCTAAATTATTAGCCTCGATTACACTTAGACGCCTTACTAGTGCTCGTGAAGAGCAGACTAGAGAAAATCAGGATGGTTTTCGACCTGGACGTGGTTGTATAGACCACATCTTCACACTAAGACAGGTCCTGGAACACAGACGCATATTTAGACGTCCTACAATAGTTGTCTTCCTGGACATTAGGGCCGCATTTGACTCAGTGGATCGTGAGGTTCTGCGGAAGTGTCTGTCATTGAAAGGTGTACCAAAGAATTACATTAACCTTATACAAGCTCTCTACTCGGACACCACTGGTCAAATTGGAGCTTATGGCGAACTGTCACCGGAATTTTTTACTTCAAGTGGCGTCCGTCAGGGATGTCCACTCTCACCATTTTTGTTTAATTTTATCATAGACATGCTCCTAGATATAACCTTATCCTCGTGTGAATTTTCAGTAGACCTTTTACCAGGTGGCTCGCTTATTGAATTAGAATATGCCGATGACATAGTCCTACTTGGTAAAGACGCTGACAACATCCAGAGTTTTCTGACCACCCTAAGCAACAATGCAACCATGTTCGGGATACGGTTTTCTTCCTCGAAATGCAAAATGATGCTTCAGGATTGGATTGCGACTTCACCGGAACTAGTGATAAGGAGTGAAGTAGTCGAATGTGTAGACCGCTTCACGTATCTGTTTAAGTCTCATCAGTGCTGATAGCCTGGTGACTGACGAAATCTCAGCTCGGATACAGAAAACTCGAGTGGATTTTGCCAACCTGCGTCACCTATGGCGCAGGCGAGATTTCTGTTTGCTGACTAAAGGACGAGTGTACTGTGCAGTAGTTCCCTCGTTGGCTGCGAAACATGGCCATTAAGAGTAGAGGACATTCGTAGGTTACTAGTCTTCGATCATAGGTGTATCATGGGACAACCGTACAAGCAACGCTGTCGTTAGGAAACGAGTTCTAGGTAGGGATGGCAAATCAATAGATGAAGTAGTGAAACGTCATCAGTTGAGGTGGTTGGGACATGTGTTACGTATGGCTAACCACCGACTGCCTCGACGAGCTATGTTTTGCAGTGTAGGAGTAGGTTGGAAGAAATTTAGGGGCGGTCAAGCCAAAACATGGCACAAATCCATGAAGTCACTGAAAAGTGGACTGAGTCATGTTGGTAGATGTAGGCTACCTGGTTGGGGTCCGCGAGACGATAGCCACCGATGGTTAGAGACCTTGAACGACATGGCTCAGAGTCGTTTGCAATGCGTAGGTGCATCCACTCCATGTGTTCTATGAAGTTCTAAGCTTCTGCATTCCTCATAATCTCTACCTTTCTCCTTCTAAATTCATCTTACTGAATTATACTTCTCGAATCATATTTTCGCTCCATAACCTTCTCCGTTACTACTAATACTTCTATTATTGCTATCACTCTTGGATTTGAACTGACAGTTGCGTCTCTGTGCTGATGGGGCATGGCAACCTGAACTGATGTACTTACGTACGAAGTTCTGCGTTGTATCTGTCTTTCTGTCTGTGTCTGTCTCTGAATGGGATATACAGTTTGTCTGATGTAGTGCTTTTCATAATTAGGGCAGTTTATTTTGCAGGTGGTGTTTGATTTTACCGTTCTTTTAACATTTTGTTTTGTGGTTTGCGTAGGATTGATTTCACTGGTTTGTGCGCTACACTTATTCATAAAGGCTTCAGTAATCTCGTTGGGATTTCTAATGTCTTTTATACATGGGAGAATGATTTGTTTGTTAGTTCCCATACTGGTACTTTTTTAATGAGTTAAGTTGGTACTTTTTGATGAAGTTGTGTCAGTAGCAGTTCTTCTTTGAGAGATAGTCATAAGATAGTTTTCCTCCTTTTTTCCGCGCTGCATATGTGCTCTCACTCACTTGCAGAAAGTTTGTACGCCGTTAATTTTGCGAGTTCTTAAGTTGAATGTGATTGTCACAAAAGGAGCTTTGTACTTTCTTATACACTGAGACGATCAGCGATTAAGATACGGTAAGATGAGATTAAATCTAGTTCCTAGATTTTAGATAAGCTCTGTCAATCAAACTTCTAAAATTGTACTACCACTCTTAAATACCTCAGAGCCTAATACATAAAGT